TATATGTATCTACTCTGTGATGAAATCAAGCACGTTATTCAAACGTGTAGGTTCAACTGACAGTAGCTTTAAAACATATTCATTCAGCATTTCCGTAAATTCTAATTCATCAGATCTAATAGTGTTTTCTAAACAGTTCCAATCGATGCTAGGAAGATTAAAATCTCCAGCAATAACAATCTGATCGTAAACATCGCGTAGATATTGTATATAATGTTTCACCAAATGTTCTACACCAAGATATATTCGAGTTTGGTTGTCTGTAGCAAGAAGCCAATAGAAATTTGTCGTTTTTAGTTGCTACTTCGCAGCACACGAATTCTAAATCTGTTGGAATATCGATCTGTTGGATTGAGGAAGACAACGATGATCTTCTGGCAAGAGCACTGCGCCACCTCGAGATGTTTTTCTGTTTTTGCGAAAGATATTGAACTCATTTGACGGTACAATCTCACTGCCCAAGATATTTTTTGTCAGCCACGTTTCAGTTATAAATGTAATGTCAGTGTTTTCTGCGATTAAAAAGTTATGTGAGTAGTGTCAAAATGTCTTTTTGAGCTCATTTGCTCATTTCATCCTTAACGTCCTTAACGTCCTTAACATCCTTAACATCCTTAACATCCTTAACGTCCTTAACGTCCTTAACGTCCTTAACGTCCTTAACATCCTTAACATCCTTAACATCCTTAACATCCTTAACGTCCTCAGGGGACTGAAGAGAATTTTCCCATAAAAATTTCCCATAAAAAATTTCCCTATGAAAAAATTTTCCCATGAAAATTTTCATAAAAATGTTCATGGAAAAACTTGAAAATTTTATAAAACTTTTATGAAAAAGAGGAATAGAAAGAATTTTAAAAAAAGGGAATTCCCATAAAAATTTTCCCGCCAAACATTTCGTTCCCATGGTAACCATGAAAATTTTTTTTTTCCTATCAACCATTTAGGTAAATATAAAGTATCATAAAAAACACTTTCGGAACTTTCTCTGGATTTACTCATCATCTCTTATTTTTTTTCTCATACTCATTCGGAGTATGAGAAATTTTTTTTCATTGTCTTATAGAAAAAAAGGGTATAATAAAATAAGAGATGTCGAATCCAGGGGAAAAAAGTTTCCGTAAGGAAATTAAAAGTCTTGCGTCGGAGCGTAAGAAGCGTCGCGAGTTAAATATTCGAAATACGAAGAAGAGTGTTGCGGAAGAAAAGTCGTGGTTGTATAGTATTGCGAGAGAAGAGGCAAGACGTCGTGGTGTGGTGACGAGGGAGAAGGCTATAGAGAAGAAGCGTGTTTCGGAAGAGAAGGAAATATATTTGATCACAGGGATGGTACCGGAATGTGTTAAGGTGATATTATGTATTCCGCGAGGCGCACCCGATGTTCGTTGGGTTATAGAATATTTTAAGGAATATGGATGCGTTCCTTTGAAAGCGATGGCGGAACCGAGTAAAGGATGTGTTATGTATTTTAAGGGGATAGAAGAGGAAACGGGAGTATTAATAGACCCGTATAATATGTATTACATAGAACTGTTAATGAGGACCAGAAGCCTAGTGTGGAACGTAAGACGACAGCAGCGGTACGAAAGGAACAGAGAGGAAGGTAAGCGTTTATTGGATGAAAGACAACGTTTAGCGGAGGAAAAAGGTATAGTTAAATTAAAACAACGCGGCCCCGGGTATAAGGGGAAATCAGACAGGACATACTACTTTCAGCTTGCATTGGAAAATGCATGTATCGAGAGGGAAAAGGATGAGGTGAAAAAAGAACTTTTTGACTTGTACGGTGATGAGGGTTACGATCCTAGCGATGAAACTTTTGAGGACTGGATGGAATGAGAGGAATTTTGTATGACTATCCATTGTTTCCCATACTCATCCGGAGTATGGGAAGTCATGTTGTTTCCATGGTAACCTACTTTTTTTTTCTTTTTTTTTTAACGTATAAATAAAGAATGGATAAAACTAGATTGGATGAGATCATAGCGGATGATACTATATTCTATGAGTCTAGGAAAAAAATGCGCGACCTTTTTCGCAGTTTATTTAAGGTAGTACTGGAGACTCAAATTTGAAAATTCGAAAAAATCTGAAAGCTAGTATTTAGAAAGGCCTTGGGTTGTTCAACTCATTTTTGCAATTCAACAACAGTTTTGTGTCCAGGGGGGTGTGGGAATGCATGCCAAAGTCCCAAAATAGCCATATTTAGCCATTAATTGTAGCTTTCGTTTTAAACGTATTGAGCTGAAACAACGAGGTTTTACTTAAGGCATCAATAGAAATATTTTGTACGGAGTACGCCGTCGTTCGAGCATTTGCCTCCGATTTACATATATTCCCCGTTTTTTAGTGATGACATATAGATAAAAAATTCTTAACCGAACTTTATTAGGCGGACAAATGCGTACTCCGTGCAAATTGTTTGTTGCATTCTTGCCTATGTTTATGCCAAATTTTGTTGAAATATGTTGAATACAGAGAAAGATATAAACATTTTAGTCCTTACTGTGATCAAATTATATCAAATTGTTGCAATATTACCTAAAATTATGGCTGTTTTGTCCGAAGAATTCGTCTATTTTGAGTTGTCACACAATTTTCCTATGTTTTGATGAGCCAACAATCAATGGTCAGTGGTTAATACTTGAAATCTACTTGCATAAAAGGACGAATAAGCATTGTAAACCCTATTAGTAGCTTGGGAAAATTCCGCGGGAAATCAAATTAGCCAATTATATTGCGATAGCTGGCAACCACACCTATGGCGTTTAGCGATGACATGTCAATTATCTCATATTACATACTGCTGTTTTGCTATTCCGAATTAATATTCACGCAAATATGGCTGCGACTACGAGTAGCGTCGACGCTGAATCAAATATTGGTAAAAACCTAAATCTCTCTCGTGGAGTTGGGTTTGGGTCGCGGCTCAATTTTGATATTGAAAAACTCGTTTCGCTTGGATGGAAGTTGAACGAGAGAGAGAATTCGAGTGGTGGACGTAAACGGAAAATGGTAACATTCATAGATCCATCCGGGAAGAGATTCAAGACAGGGAAAGACGTCGAAAGACATATGAAAGAAATAAACCTTTGGGATAATGTGAAATGGGAAAACAACGATGACAAAGATGACTTACGGAACGAATCTTCCGAAGAGGAGAATGCAAACGAATTTGGAGCAAACCTCGACGATACAGATGTTGAGCATGACTTCAGCAGTGACTCCAGCATCCATGATGATGACGACTATACACTGGCAGAAGAAAGCTTTAACGCAGGAGATCCGATCAGCAACGAAGAGTAAGTAAAAAACTTTGATCCTTTAGTATCTTGTATGAACTATCTTTTCGGCAAAGAGTTGTTGTTTTATATAATAATAGGCAGCTAACATAATAATCTGACTTTATATTTATCAAATGAGGTCAAACGGTGAATACAATCATACAATGAAACAATCAAAGACAAAGTACACTTGATTCTTGAAGAATTATTAGTGGCAAAGCAGTATATACATGACTATATACTTAGGAATTTTGATTGCAATAATTTGCGCATTTTTGCGTCTCGCTTTTTTTCATGCACGCACAGGAATCTGATGCCTCGCAAGTTACCAAATACGTTTCCGCTTATAATGATATAATATATGATTTGATATCAGGGAAACTATTTTTTTCAAACTATTACATAATTATGGAGACAAATCCTTCCATGTAAAATGCAGTATCGCAATGTCGCGGTCCAATATAAAATATTCGAAGTGTATATTCATCCGACACCGGAACTCAATGTCTGATGGCTATTCATCCGACATCCTATAAATTCATATCCATTTGTCAAGAATACATGAGGACATAACTTGTCTACCTAGTTTTATATCCCTTACCCGTTTTATACTTATAACCTAGTATACCTTGCAGGATAACCATTTGTGATGGGTTTTTCGTTGGTACGGCCTCAAGTATTATATCATTGGTTGCTGATTTCAATAAATACTTTTGTTGCCCAACAAATGATAAATTGTGCAAAGGTAAGCCTGTAATTTCCATGAATGCAGTGGCGACTAGCCAGGATTTCCTCTCAGGGAGGGCCAATAAAACCTGGGAGCCCACTACTGAAAACCTGTTTTAGAATTAGATTGGAAATTTTCTCAGGGGGGCGGCAATCCAGCCAGGGCCCCGGCCCCCCTATGGCTATGCCTGTGCATGAGTGTAACTCCCACTATTGTAGATCGACATACCCGTATGAAAAACTAAATCCCATGATTACAGAAAGATTACTTTATACTGACAAGAAAGCTACCAACTCTTTTGTGAATAATTTGTGTCTTCTTAGGAAAACTCGTACTTGTCGCAACCAACAAGAAATGTCGTGGGGGCTCAATGAAATTTGTATTTCGATGCAATGGCTGTTGGAAGGAGGAGATCTGCTACAGGAGCAGCCAGTTGGCTTTGAAGTCCAGACGCCAGTTGGTGTCCTTAGCCTTATCCTTAGCATTTTTTGTTAGTGGTCATGGCTATGCTAGTTATCGTAAAACACTAGGCAGGGGTCTTGGGTTGGATGTCCTTTCAGAAAAGCCTTTTTTAGAAGTTATTAAATATGCCTTCCCTTTTATAAAAGCCATATTAGATGAGATATGTGATGCTGCAAAGCAGCAAATGAAAGATATCTCGTCAGATGTTTTGGGTTCCTGGTCTCGTGCTGTCACCACATGTGATGGTTGTTGGCAGATCAGGGGCTATTTCAGTCAAAATTGCACTTTCATTATAAAAAACTATCTGACTGGTGGCCTTCTTTACTATGGCCATCTGTCCATGAGAGGTGCAGATAAAATTTGTGACGAGGAGTTGTGGCAGGGCACAGCGAAGGCTGCTGAGGGTCACTTGGCTCAGGTCCTGTGGTCCAAAGCAAAGGATGAAGATTTGAAGGTGGAAGTAAACTGGCAGGATGCCGACTCCTCATCTGCATTAGGTTTCAGGTATTCTTTCCCTAATGAATTAGAGTCAAGAGTTATGTTGTGTGGGGGGCATGTGGGAAGGGCCCATGGTAAGAAACTCCAGGAGCTTCAAAGCAAATCGACTGTTACTACCCAGTTCATTGCCCTTCACAAAGAGCAGTTCCCTAATATACAATCAGTGAAGTGCTGTTGTGCTGGCAAAAAGCATAGATTTGTCTCCAAAAAAGACAAACCTGCATGTGGTTGTATCGGTCCTGGTTTTATCCAGAGTGCCAAGAGAAACCATTACTGTGCTCTTGTTCAGGCTGATAATGACCCTGAGAAATACAGGGCAACCATGCTCACGCTTGGAAAGTACCACAGCAGGGACATACATTCATGGGAGGGGGGTTTGTGTTCGTTTCATCCGTTAGTAAAATGTAGTTGTAAAAAATGTGATGTAGATTTAAATGGGTTTTGCCCAGAAATGAAATGCTCTGGGGAAGCATACCACTCTGCTCATGTCCTGAAGTGTGACTTTCATGGACTCCTATATGAGATTGAGTGTGCTAACAGAGCCAAAGATGCAGAGAAGGTTATAGACCCAAACTTAGGTAAGGGTCATTCTAACCTTCCTGAATCGTCGTTTAGTGTCTTGACTAAGTTTAGGGCTAAGGACATCAATTTACATCAGACACACTACCAGGCATCTACCAACCTTGGCTTGCTACAATCATGTATGACCTGGTGCTACAAAGTAAAAGGACCAGAGTACCACTGGATATTAGAGCTATACTCCAGGATGGGATTACCCATTATTGATGGAATTCAAGAAATGGTATGCATTGTAAATATGTATAGTACTTGTGGACCGATCGTTTATTACGTCTCGGGGGGAGGTGGGTGTTAAAAACATATATCAACAAAATATGCCCCTATATTTTTGGTAAATGAAAAAATGACCCCCTGTAACTTGTTCAACTATATAGATTAAAAATATACCACCACCACCCTTTTCCCCTCCAAATTGTCAGGCCTGGTGATGAGGTGCTAGTATCTGACCACAGGTGGCCCAACTATACATCATTCACTTTCATTATGTATATTTATATATATATATATATATATATATATATATATATATATATATATATATATATATATATATATATATATATATATATATACTATATACTATATATATACTATATATATACATACTATATATATACTATATATATACTATATATATACTATATGTTATGTATATATTATGTATATATCGGTCCCTTATGCTTATTTTGATTTTCATATAATAATCCAGAAAGTTTCAATAATTTTTCTAAATTTGTACCAATATTTATCTAGTACAAGACTTTGACATATTTTTATGTCAACTTTAAACTTTTGCAGTGCCAACATGATAATAAAAAGCGCATGAAGATGCTGGAACGCAAGAGAAGTGCTGAAGGTAAAACGAAGAGGATAAAAACAAAGATTGATCGTACAGAAGATCAGAAGCTAAGGTGTGTTTCTTATTCCTGATTAGCATACTTGTAGCAGCACAAAGAATGTATGACCTATTTTGGTCATATGGTACATTTTGTAAATACACATCCACTTGACTTTATCATAGGAAGAAATATACTGCAAAATGCCAGATACAGCATTCCTATGGTGGTGGTGATGACGATGGCGACGATGACATCGACGAAGAGTTGGCCAAGGCTATGACAGAGAATGCTATTAAAGAAGGAAATGCACCCCAAGTCGTCCTACCTAAAGGTGTAGTGGGAACACCTTCGGGTGCAAAAATATTTATTGGTGGACAGAAATGTAAATGGTGTGGCAGCACAACACATGTGAGAAAAAGCCATAAGGACTGCCCGCACAATTGCAAAAAGCAAAAAGCATGAACCAAAAAGCTTGCATGTAGTTGTAGACCAAGTTGGTTTGGTAAAAGAGTTACAAGAGGGTGTTGGTGCATTTCCTCAACGTGTTAGCAATTTATGCTGAGGTGTTTGGTAGTTGTCGAGGGTGATGTTCATATATACAATGTAAAAGACTTATAAACCAGGAACATTGCGAAAAATACACAACTTAGTGGCAGGAATTGAACCTATGCCTCTGTGATTCCAGTGCAGTGCTCTCACCTCTAAGCTACAGAGTAGTTGCCGTAAATGCTGCACACTTTTGTAAATAATGAAATGTGCTACTATAATAATCTTACAATGGCAACACTGTGTAAATAAACCTTGAACTGTATATATTTTGGTCCCAATATTGCACTAACTCACACAACAGGCAATGGTCATTCAAAAATCTTTATTACTATATATGAATATATTTTTATAATTACAAAAAAATTGTTAATTAGTGGTGCAAAAAATTACAATTCAATTATTACAATCAATTTTATTATAAGAAATTATCACAATCAATTATTCACCGTCTGCGCATCTTTATTGCGCATATTTTTTTAACTTCCGAATATGACGTATATGTGTCATGGTGGCGTTGGCAGGTATGGTAAGTAATGCATGTATTAGGCTGTAATTTTTCAAGTTTGCGATGCACAAAGGAGATGCGCAAATAGAAAGATGCAATACATCAATCATTTACATACTAACCAACGCCGCCATGACACATGTAGCATTTTCCGACAATTTCCGACATATTTGGAAGTTAAAAAATATGCGCAGAAAAAATGCGCAGACGCTGACACTGCTCCTTTAAATCAAAATATTCTGCCACATCAATGTGCAACCAAAAAAATGAGCCATCCTTAGACTAAGAAAATAAAACAGAACAATTTATCAGTTCATTCGGACAGCATTGATTATTATACTTCAAATTTTCATACTCACATGATTAATACTCAGGGCTTGGTGGCCTCTGGAGGGTCATGTACTCTCTTATCAGTTCCTCCAGAGATACCTCATACAATATTTTTCTCTGCAGAAGAATAATTACATAACTGTTAGACATTGAACACCTTTGACACAGCTGAGTATCAATCAAAAAAATAAATATTTTCAATCTGTTGATTCAAATAAACCTAGTACTATAAAAGCAATGAAATAGTGCACTAAATGTTTGAAATGCTAAATAGTTATAAGCCCTAAGATTAAGGTTGATTTACACAAGAAAGATCAATAAAAAACTTAGCGAATAAATGGCATTCTTATGCTTACTTTGCCACCAGCTCTTGGCGGGTAATTCCGGATGCCATCAGGGTAATATGCCCTGATTACATCCAGTAGCTCTTGAGGGTAAACGAGCGATGCCCCATTACCCACTCCTCTTTTTCTCTAAAAAACATAAGTAGCAAATTGTATCAATGAAAGGTCAGTATACGCGTTTATCGCAGAAACCCCTATGAAGACAAGCATTTTTACACTTGGCACTTTGCCGACGCCACTTGCTTGATCTGACCATAGACCTGACTAAAAACCAAATCAGGTAACAAACGGGACATACAACAACAATTTACATATATTACACTACTTACTGATAAGAAATCGAAGAGCGATTTATAGATACTGCGCCTCGATTCTGAATCGTTGCGCTGGCTGTTGTTGTGGATCAGATGGACCAATGATCCAGGTATTATATCTCCGCTGTATAAGAAAAAGAATGATTAGAATATATTTCAAACACAAAGAAACTAAATGGATTCAAAAACACTTAGCCTTACGTCTCTTCGCGCACCGCTTCTTCCAAGCGGCGCATCGCGATCCTTTGGCGGTTTGTGTTTTCTGAGTTGCTTGATTCTATAATAAGAACAAGCATTATGTTTTTGTGCTATCATCAATTGTTTCTGTGAAAACGTAAAAAGCGAGAAGCACTCAATTATTCCTTACCTGCCATGATCAGATGAAGAAAAGCTTTGGAGAGCTTTGAATGCCTTTGATCAATGACTTTCGCTGTCAATAGCCCACAACAAATGCGCAAAATGAGACTAAAATGCCGCATATCATATCACAACAAAGGTGTAAAATTCTGTCAAAACTCGCTGTAGGAGAGCGAACGCTAACGCATTGTATTTCAGCCTAAACTCCAGTTTTGGCGCGAACTTTCATCCTTAGATACGAATGTTTGATCGCGAAAATCTCAGTAAGAATAAAACGCATCACTGTAAAATTCAGCATGGGAACTTGTTTTTACTATATCTACCAACTGACCAAAAACCGTAGATATCGGAGAGATTGACTTGAGACTCCAGTACTACCTTAACGGTGAATTCTCTATCAATGATATAGGTACCGATATATCTGTAGAACAATCTATAGAAAGGTCGGATAGGGAATTTGAGGAAATACGTAAATCTATCGGTATGGATAAGAATTCATTCGAAGACTTTGTTTGCTACCTGACGCGTGGATTGGTAGAAAAAGAAATAAATAATATAAATAAAGAATGAATCCAATGACAACCATCATCCATTCAGCGATGAAATTATCTGCAGGAAACGTAACGGACATTCCGAACGTGGCATTGACGGAAGAAGAAGCCAACGTCTTGTACGCGACGTGTGCGATCTGTAGTTCGTCCGCGTTATCTATTCTGATGTTCGTGACGGTAAAATTGTTGAGGATGTGTCGAAAGAAGAAAAAGAATGATCCTGAATTACCCGTCCACACACCGTCCGCATAAAAAGATTTTAAATAATTATTTTTTATTTAAAATTTATTCAGGATTAGGATCAGTAACAGGATTTCGAGTGTGATCGGAATCAGAAGGCAGCTGATCAGACTCGTTCACAGTAACATTCTCCATAGGATTAGTCTCATTATTTTTTATTCCGTCGTAATTTTTGATCGTCGTACTCACGTATCCGATCTGTGTATGAATACTGGTGGTCGCATCCCCGTGATCGAACCCGAATCCAAGACTAAACATTTTTCGTCTTTTATGATTTTTGTTATGTTTCGTTCCCGCGGATTTTGAGGAGAAGCATCCCATATTTTATAAAATGGATCCGTTCAATATGATCATCGTCGGAATGACGGCGTGTGGAAAGACGCATTATCTGATCGAAGAGTTAAAGACGACGTATCTTCATAAATTTGCTAAAATTTTTTTAATTTGTCCGACGTATCATTGGAATAAGACGTACATCCAGGATTTTATCGATAAAGATCCTAACTTTTTCGTGGTTCCGTGTCATCAGGATGACGTGGAAGATTTACTGAAGTACGTTGTGAATTACGCGTCGGGTGAGGAATCATTGATTATTCTGGATGATTGTGCAAGTACAAAATTCGTGAAGGGTCGTACGGGTGAATTGGTGAATCTAGGATTCGGGGCACGTCATCGTCAAATCTCGACGATCGTGATCACACAGCAGTTGACGTCGATCGCCAAGCCGTATCGCGAGAATATTCAGAAATTAGTGACGTTCTATAATCCGAATAGACAGGATATGAAAATTATTTTGGATGAATATTTAGACGTGAATTCTGCAGAAATAAAATCCATTCGCGAAAAATTAAAACAGAATAAATATTCGTATTTGGAGATAGAATTAATTCATCCGTATCGTCATGAAATAAAGTATTAGAATGGAAGAAGAAGGGAATTACGAAAGGACAGAACAAGAAATTCTGGAAGAGACAAGATCGGAACTGATTCGGTTATCGAACGCGGGCGAAATCAAGCAATCCGAGAATTATCTGAAAAAAGCAACGCCGCGTATTATTCATAAGATTAAAAGAGAATATGAGATTAATCAACGTGAAAAAGTTAATATTCTACTCACGGAAACATTGATCGAAAAATTTTCAGGATTATTGGAAAATATTCGTATGATCGATAGCGGGAATGATCTCAAAGAAGAATTAAATCAGGATAAATTATTAAAAAGCGACGTGAAAAGTATTGTGGAAAGAATATCCCCGTACATTCCGTATCTGGGAATTTTAAGCGGCGGTGTAACGACGATAAAACATGTGTACGGAAGGAAAGGAACGAAAGAAGATGTGAAGACTGCAAGGGATACGGAAAAAGAAGATACAAAGACGGAATAGGGAAGCGTCGTGAATCACGACGGAACGGGGACTTATCCCATTTTGGGACAAGTCTGGTATTTTCATATTTTCAGGAAAAATATGAAAGAAGATTCCCATCCTAGTACCTCACACCATTGAATTGACCGTTGACTATTTTAATGACACCGTCCGAAAGAACGAATGTATAACAGATGACGTTCGCCGTCGTTGCTTTCTTTGTAATTTCCACTAAGATACCAGACTGAGTATTTTGAATTTTCACACCGTTCCCATAAGTTTTTGGATCATTCGCAGTGCGTAAATCCAAAACCAGGGCAAATTTTTTATCTTTGTAGAATTTTATTAAATTTTGTTGACTATTCGTATCGGTTCCAAAGAGACGTTTGGCTTCTTCGTACATTCTTGTCTTTGTCATTCCCTGACTGTAAATCACGTTGGGTACGCCTTCGATCGTCACTTTCACTTTTTCGATGTTCGGAAATATATATTCTTCGCTATCGGTCGATGTTTTTTCGGTGAATAACATGACGACAGCTTTCATACTGCGTCGTGGAACATTGATGGTTTCATTGACGATCGTCGAATTCTTATCCCATTCTGTTTTTTTCATCAACGTCGTATGTTCGAATGATAATTCTCGTTCGGCTCCGTATAGATTTTCGGATTTTCGAGCGAGATTATTATTCTCGATGGATTCGTATTCGAGTTCGATGTTTTCCAATGTATATCCCTCGACGGATTCCCCACTCTGCGCATTCATAATTTCCGAAGCTTGCGGTAATGTAATAACATATTGTAAGTCGTTCGCGGAATGATACGGAGCATACAATCCATGATCGCCTAAAATTTTATTAATTTTTATACGTTATTTCGTTCCAAAAATTCCAAATAAGGCGGTGGCATCGGCATCGGCATTGGCTTCGTCGTCCTTGGAGATTTTCTTGCGGACGGCTTCGGTTGCAATACCGTCTTCGATCTTATCGGCACGTTGTTTTCCATCCATCCACAAATCTTTATACACTTCCATCAAACTTTCGCCACCGTTATCGTAGACTTTTTCGCCGGCCAACCGGATTTCTAATCTTTTCTGTAGTAATTTTCCCAAATTATTGCGGAACCAGGATTTCTCGTTGGCATTTTTAAAGTCGAATACCAGCGCCATACTATCGGGAACTAATACGGAATCCGGTTTTAATTTTGGAATATTCACATAAATTTCTTCTCCCGGTTTGGCAGAATTTGGATTAAACGTAATTAGGTGTCTTGTTCTATTTCCCATAAGTTCTGTACTAGATTGACGATGGAAATCAGGCATAAGTTCTATGGTTCTATCCGTCATCTTTTATTTCATGGAAAGATGAAATAAAAAATTTTCTTTTTTCTTTTTGTAATAGTCGTAGATGAAAGTAGCAATGAGAATAGCAACCAGCCATAAATTTTTTGCAAGAAATTCTAATCCTTGGGCTCCCCATTTTAAAATGGTCGCTAACATATTTAAGATCGGAACCAAGACGGGTAATGCCGCTTTTGCGACTTTCGCCAGGGCTTTTCCGACTGCGCCTACCCCCTTGGCAGCATCGACCAATGTCTTTTTTCCGGCGACGACGACGGTTGTAATAATGCCTGCAATGGAAATAGCGATGGCCGATAAAACTCCGAGATTTTCCCTGGCCCACACTGTAAATTTTTCAAATTTTGTACGCGTATCCTCACCGAATTTTTCACGGACGCGATGAATTCCTTCTTCGGATTCGGGACGTTCGTACATTTCTAATTTGGCATCGTCGATATTTTGTTCGATAATTTCTAAGGCTTCGCGAAAAATGTCTTTCCGTTCGGGATCGGATTCATCCTTATAATCCTGTTTGATTTTTTCACGTTCTATCTTCAAATATTTTATTCTTTCTTCGGGTTTTCCTTTGGGTCTTGTAATTCCCACCAATTTTCTTGTTTCTTGTTCGGTAAATTTTCCGTCGCGATGTAATTGTAAAACCCGATCGTGAAATTCAATATTATCGTCGATATTTTCGCGATGAATTTCATCACGGACATCGTTAGAAATAGCATCGGTATTATCACCACCCCCTGTTTCTTCTTCCGTAATACTATTTAATGTTTTTCTATGTTCTTCCGTTGCCATTTCGAAGGCGGTCCTAAAATCTTTTAGTCCCTGTACGTTCGATGTATTTTTTGATAGGAAATAATTTCCATTTCTATCGATGAATGCGACTTTAACATTATCGAACGTCAACCAATATTTATCAACAACATCCAGTCGAGAAAATAGATTCCGGGAATTCGGTCCGTCGTTTGGATTCAAATTATAATTTTCTGTAAAAAGTTTTTTCATATGTTCGGATTTTAATTGGACGGATGATCCGGTCGTATATAGAAGATTAGTTTCTCTTTTTCTTTTTGTGGATGTATCATCTTCGTTGTTTCTTTTAAAATCCGTCATCCATAATTCGTCATCCTGTCTATCCAAATCTTCCAATCCTGTTTCGTGCAAGTCATCATTATCTAAATTAGTTTCCTCCCAATCATCCCACTCGTAATCATCGTATTCTCCAAAGTCATCCATTGGAATATATTCTGCCATATTTTATTTACTACTTAAATCCAGTGATAATTCGGATTCGTAAAATCTTCCTAGGACTTCCTCTTCCTTGTCGTCGGGATCTATGATTTTATACATGTTTGGATCACCGCGAAATACTTCCGAGACCACATAAATATCATCGCTATAATTTGGTGTGTATCCCTTATCAAATTTTTCACGATAGATCATATCTCTTACACGATCCCCCACTTTAAATTTTGGTTCTAGAAAATGACTTAACGGATAACCGTAAAGTTTTGTCCAGACTTTGTCTTTATTTTCTTCGTTGACCACGGCAGGTTTCATACCAATGGTTCGATGTTTGGAATAATTGTAGGAATTAACGAGATTCGGTAAGATATCTATCCATTTCTTTTTCTTTTCCGTAAATCCACGTTCCGTAAAATATTTCCACATTCTTGTTTTTAACGTCCTGTTGAATCTTTCGACGATCGCTGAAAAATAATGAATGCCACGATCGTCCAATAATGCCTTGACCCCATTATTGTAAAATTCTTTCCCTTCGTCAAATTGTGCTACTTTGGGATAGCGTCCGAATCTTTTGTGATGTAATTTTAAACTTGTTCGACGGCCGGAACCATATCTTTCGTTCCTTTTCGATAGACGGGAACGGCAAACGCATACCGACTTAAAATTTCGATCACCGTTAAAATCCACCAGTTTCCCTGATTTGCATGACTGAAAGCCTTCATATCCACCAAATCCATTTGAATCTGTTGGGCAAGTCCGTCGACATAAGTCCGTTGTGTTTTAAAATGGGTTCGGATCGGTTTATGTACGATGTAGGTATTCTGAGTCTGTAACCATTCTTTTACATTTTTTCGCGTGACTCCTTCGACGCCTTCTTTTAATGCATCCCGATATAGATAGATAGATAGATAGATAGATAGATAGATAGATAGATAGATAGATAGATAGATAGATAGATAGATAGATAGATAGATAGATAGATAGATAGATAGATAGATAGTGTATTTAAAATTCACCTTGCAGCTGGACAGCTGAATTGCGTGATTTACAAGAGTATATAAAACATTATTTAAAAGATAGAATATGGATTAATTAGGCATATTTACAAATGGTCATTAAAACGCTTAGTACTAAAAATTACATTAACTTAAGTTACTAGACATAGGAATCAGGGGCGGATCTAGGGTAAGTCCAATCAGTCGCGTGAATGAAGTATTTTTGCAAAGAAATAATTAATTTATTATTTCGAAATTTGAATAATTAAATCCCGAATATAATATGAAATTCATATCATAGTCCAGTATACGCCTTTACGAGCTCAGTTTTGAATAAATATATGCTTTATCTAGAGCAGCGGTAAAACGCAAGAATCTCGCAGAATCGGGTGGTCGTTATGCTCATTTGATTGGTCGAGAGGTCATTTGGACATATCTCGACTGATCTGTGGGGTGGCCGGACTGATTTGCACTCTAAGGGAGTCTTTTTCAGGCCATTTCTTTCCTTTGATTGGTCAATTTGAAAATATTATGGGGTGGTCGGACTGAATTGCAACTTAAGGGAGTTTTTATGGGGTGGTCCGACTGATTTGCACTTTAAGGGAGTTTTTATGGGGTGGTCCGACTGATTTGCACTTTAAGGGAGTTTTTATAAGTCCATTTCCTTCATTTTGATTGGTCAATTTGAAATTATTGACAATTTCTATTGGTTCATTTTTTTGGACTGATTCGGACTTATTCGCGGCAGGGATATCAGTCCTTGAAAATTGCGAAATTCATGCAAAGCAGTCTTTCATATTCCCGTATATGAAGGTTTTTCATAGTTGGGAGAATTATTTTACGATATCGAGTATTTATATGTACGCGGCCGATTTTACGAGACGATTTAACGGCCTTTAATAAACTTTGAATTATCTCTGAATGAGGATTATTGTGGGGCAGCTAAGATATCAAGCGAGCAGCTTTTATAATGTTGTTCTGTTCAACAACGAGAAGGCACTAAGTTGGGACTTCTCTGCTACGTGCTTCACAATAAATCACAAAGATCATGGTCGTAATTTGGGTGGTAAAGCCAAAGGGAAAGTGTGCACTGCTATAATGTATGACAATACCCAAAATTATGAAACAGAAATGAATATATTGCAATGTATCTTGTATGATAAATGCGAAGTTGAAATATAACACGTACGCTTTAATACATTTTTACACGCAATCGACTTATCGACTTGCAACTTACAATGCGCTTTCGGGCCTTATAGCTTTCCTGCTGTATTTATAATTTATAAATGCATTGTCCATTATCAAAAGGGCCAGAATAGCGCATTGGCATTGGAGGGTTAAAACAATATAATTTGGATGATTTGCATTGCACGAAAGATTTGCGATGAATATCGTTATAATATACAAGTGATATTTATAGCATATTGTAATTCATTGAATAAAAAATGCATTTTACAAAGTATAATTGAAATATTACTCTTTATTTTGCTTGAGAATTTTGATTCACAAATCCAGTGAAACAGCGAGTTATATTGGATCGGCCATTGGTATCATATCACTTCAATTTGCGAAGGATTTCATGAGCCAAACTCAAAGGCTATTGAAAGTTGAAACTACATGATGTGTTTTGTAATATGACCCTCCGTTAGTAAATCTAATTCCGAGGACTGGGAGAAGGCACGTTTGTGAGATCATAAAAAAAGCATGTGCTTGATGTACTTTATAATATTTGGAATTCTGCAAAATCTCACCGCCAAAACGCTTGAAATCGCATTTCAGAGACTCTAGATTTCAAAATTTTCCGGGGGGCATGCCCCCAGGCCCCCCTAGCATGTCTCACACCTTCGGCGTTCGACTTATGTTTGAAAAATCCTAGATCCGCACCTGATAGGAATAAAAGTTTTTTTAAATCTTTCTGTATAAGTTTCGAATCGTTCAAACAGTCTATTGTTCCTAAGTTGGTAAACCGACTCATGTTTGGGAGGCAGTAAATTATGCAGTTTGTGTGTCGGATTGTTAGTAATATTTGTGAAAAGTTTATTACACATTTCTTCGCGTCTTTGGAACAAAGTTTGAAGATTAAAATATTCTAAAGTTTCGCTATATGAGTTCGCGGGTAAAATGATCTTCAGTGCTCGCTTTTGTACCGTCTCAAGATCTTCTGACAGGAAGGATGGGATTGAGTAATGGAAAACCGGGGCACAATATTCCAAAATGGGCCTGATAACTGTACAGTAGAAGTTTACAATGTCTTTCGGACTGACTTTCTCCATCGACATGTATCCACCGTTGACGTTAAAATAAAGTTCGCGTAAGGCTAAATCTAAAGATGAACTCATTTATATTATTTATATAAATGAAGAAGATCACAGTATACGTCGAAGACGGGGAAACCACGGTAAAATTATTGGATCCGTTAGTCCTAACGCACGCGTCCAAACTCTACTTGAAAACGGCCGCCGTGTTTTGGACGTATCAAAATATTCGGAAAGGATACAACGACTATTTTTCCATCGATAAGAAAAAAGTCACGTTGGACGAAGGATACTGGACGTTTAAAAATTTACGGAAAGAGCTGGAAAGTCACGGATTATCCGTCGAAGAATATCCCGACGGTCGAATCAAGATCGGATACACGAAAGGTATAAAATTCTTAAATCTATGGAAATTAAGTGACTTGTTGGGATATACCACTACCTTTTCGACGACGCATCCAAGCGATCGGTCCGTCGATATTCATGAAGGATTAAGATTTTTAACCGTCGGTTGTAATTTAGCGAACCGATCCCGAAATATAGATTTTAATGGATTTCCCAGTAATATCATCACGTCGCTTCCCATCGACGGAACGAAACCTCTGTTCGGAACGACGACTAAATACAACGACATCGAAAGTGAAGTCACTGCGGATGCGGGAATTTACAACGAACTTTATTTCGACGTGAAATCTAACGTTCGCGGTATCGTACCGGGAAATGTTTTAATGGAACTCTATGTCATATAAATGAATAAGGAAGAAGAACAAATATTCCGCCAATATTACGGAAAGAATTACGAAAGGGTGAAAAAAGCCTATCCCCTCGAAATGCAAAAGATGAAAACTAATTTTCTGAAAAAATATCCCAACGCGACATTGAGTAAATTTAATTTCGAAGTCACGTTTTCCCAAGACGGAAATTTAGATTCTGCCTATATTTCGTACAGGGTCGACAACCTGACCAGTTACAATATCACGTCCGATACATTTCGACAAAATCCGGATTGGACAAAATATTTATACTGGACGAACGGATGGCGTAACGTCGCGTCGGATATGATTTTCCGTCCGAATTTTAAGTTCGGGATGGATTTACACGCATTTCAAATTTACGTGTCGGAAACAGACTCTTTTCCCGTTCATCTCGAATACACGACACCGCAATATACGGAAACGGGAAAATTTATCGACGCCGTTCCATTTGATTACCACAAAAATTCTTATTTTTGTTCGCTGGCAGCCTGTTACGTCGCCACGTTTAAATCTGGAATTTCCGAAGATCATCTCAATAATTCCATTTCCCATTCTCACTTAGTCACATCGACCGTAAAATTTCACGTTCATTATCAGATGGAAAAATTTATGAAAAATCCAAAATTACTGGATCATTATTTAAGTGACGACGACATCTACGTTCTAAAAAAATACATGCCCGTCCACGAAACATGGGAAAGACGAACCGTCTCTTCGCATGCGAATGTCGGAACGTGGTATTACGGATTACCCGCGGATACTCGCCGTAAAATTCGACGTCAACATTACGTACGAACTAAATACGGCGGAACATTTATCGCGTACGAATATTTAACGGGAAAATTTCCAAAAAATGTGGCGAACAATCATAAGATTTTCATTCCGGAAACGTCGCGCGGACTCACGAAATTAGGACAACGCCTCTTTCAACAATCTCTCGAAGTTTATACTTATTCCGTGCTCGGAGCGCAGGCGAAGACGCGATGGAGTATTGTGGGACAAGGTGCTAAAAGTTTACAGACGCAAGAAGTTTTTAGAAAGGTGGTGGGAGATAGTATCGTCCAGAGTGACGTGACCGTCATCATTCGAAACATGCGAACGGCGATCGTCGATACGCACGTCGTCCTCAATTTTGCCATCATGCCGGGATTAATTTTAATACCGTCCGATATGAAAATTCTAAGAAAACCTTTACCGGGGTATAATAATATCTTAACGATCGCAAAAAATGGTATGAGTTTTGGAAAGAACGAAAAGGTAAATTTTACGGAGGAGGAACCTGTGAGTCCTGTAAAACCAACAAGTCCTGTAAAACCAACAAGTCCTGTAAAACCAACAAGTCCTGTAAAACAAACAAGTCCTGTAAGGGAGTCTTCTACGACGAATCAAAAGGTCCGTGAAACACGGACATTTCCAAATCCTACAGGAGATGTATCCCCGTCAAATCAACGGGAACAAAATTCACGGACCTTAGGAATTATCACCGTTACTTCGACATTAATTGCTTATTTCTTATTCCGGTCATAATAAAATATGAGTATACTCATGGGATACGATCACTTTGAGAACGACGACCTCGAAAAGAAGGTCGCAGGCATGGAAGAGATACAACAGAGAAATACGGCCGAAATTCAAAAAAATAAAACCGAACTGATCGACTTGAACGATATCGGAAGGAATACACCCGTTCAGTACGATCTCGCACAACTTTCGGGCTATCCACCGGGATTTCTCGAAACCGTTACCGTCTCGGCAACCGATCAAAAAAATGCAAAATTCGAATTCATTATTTTTAAAGTAAGCGGCGTCGGTATCAATCAGGAAACACAATCTCCCACGTATGGATTTTACGCGGGAAGTACGGGAAATGTTGTCATGTTTACCGAAGCACAGACGGGCAGTATCGTTCGTACGACGTTCACATTCTTTTACATGTCCAATAAAAAAATTACCATCTTCGGATTAAAATTTAGGAATATCGATACGACGGGAGATTCAACCGTCCGAAAAAAATCAACGGTTCTCAAATGTTTTCTCGTCACATAATTTTTTAAGTTTTACGTCAACTTAAAAAATTCGCGTCAGTACGTATCCACCGCCGAGTCCGACGGCATTTACGGTAACGTACATATATTTTTGCATCTCGTCCGACGGTCGATAATAACGGTCGACCCAAGGCCGACAAATCCATTTTTCGCGTATAATTTTTTAGTTCGTCCAACGCTTTGTTCGTCTCTTCGATATCGTGATTCGCGTCTAAAATTTCTTGACGTCGTCGTAATTCTTGATCGTGTCTTTTGACTTCGGATTCGTAGAATTTTTCTTTCGCTTCGGCTAATTCTTCCAACGCATGATTATGTCTTTTCACTTCTTCTTTGTATCCGTTCTGATTCAAATGGAAAATAAAAATCCTGCGCCTGCAAATGCAACGGCATTAAACAATCCACCGACGATTAATTGACTTGTCATTTATTTATTTATAACTTTTGGAACGTATCCCTTGTCTTTCAGATACGCGACGGCAAATGAACTTCCTGCAACGGCCAATCCTAATTTCATCGCACCTTCGAATGTCATCGGTGCTCCCAAACTTTTTCCAATAATAGTTTTTGCAGCATAGGATACACCGACGACACCGGTAGTCAGTAAGGCTGCATCGTACAAGTCGTTGATGACTTATTTTTTCGTTGTATCGGACATCTTTTATTTCTACGAGAAATAAAAAAAAAATTATTCTTCGGGAAAAGGTCCGTGTTTCACGGACCTTTTTTCCTAATCAGACGAGTTGTGTCTTATCTTCAGATTTCATTTTTTCCAATTCTTTCGCGAGTCTGTCATTCGTATCTACAAGTCTATTTATTTCTTCCATAAATCTTTCATTTTCTTCCAATAGCTCGTCCTTTTCCTCTTCAAGTACATCTATTTCAATCCCCAGACATGATACTTTGATCCTAAGTTCTGTAACCTCTTTCTCCTGTTCATAGACTTTGAATCCTTTTTCTTCCAATTCTATTTTAAGCTGTCTAATATTTTCCTGGACGGCTTTTCCCCCTTTTTTTCCAGCTTCGACTTTTAGTTTATTTTTGACAAGATTCCCCTTGTGGACAAGATCACCACGCGCTTCCGCCTGGTCGTCCATTCCGAGTTGTTGTAATTCCATATCATCAATACCTTTTATCATATTCATCACTCCCGGTAACGTGTACGTTCCCGTTCTTCGGATAGAGGGAAGGACGTCTTCGAATACCCACCGTTGAAAATCCTCGGCGGCGGGTAACCTAGAACGGGACACAAGACTATACAGACCGGGTTCGGTAACAAAAATCCTGTTAGGTTGTGTACCACCGGGTACGTTAACAAAGGGGTCCCTGTTTCGGGGACCCCTTATATTTTCAAGTGTGGTCCTCATCCATTCTTTCGTATGTCTGATAACTGCATTCTGTGTCCTAATGTAACCAAGTGCAGCCGCGCTAATTCACTCGCTGCAAAATAAAACGTGTCACTACCGTCGTCAGATTGAATGGTAGTAACTTCTTTGTTCCCGATTAATGCAGAATTCCTTAACACTATCACCTCCATTTCTCTTTTATTATCCTATAAAAATATTTCATAGGATGATCTCAATTCGTATGCTTCCTCGAAAAATTTTTTATTCTTCGAGTCCGTCTAATTTACCTTTCAGATATGATACTTCAATCCTAAGTTTTATGATTTCCTCTTCTTTTTCCTCTAATTCCTCCTTAGTCTCCCTAATTTTTTTCTGGGTGGATTCACCTCCCTTTCTTCCAGACTCAACTTTTTCTGGATCCTTAAGTCTGTTACTTTTGTTTACAAGCTTTTTCCGTGCTTCCTTTCGCTCATCCCCTATAAGTTCACATAATTCTTCGTCCTTTACGTTATCGATAGCTTTCATCACTCCCGGCAACGCATACTTTCCAGTTTTTCGAATGGATGGGAGAACGTCTTCAGATATCCAATCCTGGAATTGTTCAGCAACCGGTAATCTAGATTTCATGAGGAGTCTGTACAGACCGGATTCGGTAATAAAAACTGTATTAGGCTGTTCACCACCACGCACATCAAAAGGGGTACGGTTTGTAACCGTACCCCTTATTTCTCCGAGCGTTGTTCTCATCCTTTCCCTCGTGTTGGTGGTAACGGCTTCGTTTGGTCTGGTATAACCAAGTGTGAGCGCTAATTCCTTCGCCGCGAAGTAGATTGTTCCATCGTCAGACTCGACGATGGGAATCTTCTTGTTTCCGATCAATGCATAATTCCCACGAATGTGAATGCTCATTTTTATTATCGTATGGAGTCTTCCATAAGATAGTTAGTACTCCCACAATTCCTAGCGGTCGCCTAATCAAACAAGTCGTCGAAAGGTTCATCTCTCACAGGACTTTTTTCTGATACATCATTATCATCCTCCTCTTTCACAGGACTCTTTTCCTCCTCTTTTTTCTGACATCGCCACGCAAGATACAGGCATCCGAGTCCTATTCCCAGTCCGAAGACCATACATATTCTTTCCAGGGAAAACATAGAAGTCGATGGACTATCTTTCCGTTCAATACCCTGTGCTTCCAATCTTGCCTTCTTGTTGGCTTTCGCCTGTTGACTGATAGCCGCCAATCTTTTTCCCGCAGCGACTCGACGCGGATCCTTGACTTTCTGTTCGGGAGGTTTCGTGACCGGTACAACCTCCGGATTTTCTATCGGTTTCAACATTATTTATTATACGGGATTCTACTTAAAATTTATTCAAGTCTTACTCACCACGTCGTACAGGACACAACGTAAATTTATTCAAGACTTACTCGCGAGGTCGTACAGGACGTACTGGAAATTTTACTTGAATTTATTCGTCAGTAAATTCAAGATCTATTCGGGAATGTCTTTATGACCCCAGGCCAACGTACGAGTTCCATCCTCACAGATATATCTCTTGTCATCATCGGCAGATAACGCCACTTTACTTATTCTTTCCGTATGAATAATATGTTTCCGACTACGGATCGTATCCATTTCGCGATACTGTTTCTTACCTGTCAGATAACAATTTTTAAAGTCCTCGAATCTTAGTGTGTTCTTGATCGTTGCCTTCTTGATTCCCTTGGCTTTCTTTTCTTCCTTACCACCGTCCAACTTAAACGCATATAATTTCGCCCGCAAATTAACGCATTCGGTAATCTGTTCTGCGGCCGTTTCGAATTTTATCATTCCAAAAACTTTCTTATTCTTTCCGCACGGAATTCCCGACGGATGAGATTCTGGAAAACTACTCGTATCGAACCATTCGTCCACGTCGTCCGAAATGTCTTTGAAAAGATCTTCGGTCTTCACATGTAAGATGAACGAATCCGTATCCGTATACATCAATCTCACGTTCTCTCCAAATTTCGATTTGAGATAATCGTAGAAAAATTTGTACATGTGTAATTTACTCAGATCCAAGATCACGGCTCCCACGTAAATGGGCTTGTTCAAATAGGTCTCGATCTTTTTCATGTGGGTCGCTACCAAATCTTCCGAAAAGATCGACGCCCTTTCGAAATTCTGTTTTCTCGCCAACTTATTCCAATCTTTCTCACTATTCGTCAAACGGATGTCCGTACGGTTTCTCACGTTCTCCATCGTCTTTCCGAAAACAGCATTACACATCAGCTTGTAAAAATCTTTTTCGAAATCCGTCGTGGCTTTTTTACGGAGTTCGATGTTCAAATGAATATAGTCCGACAACCAAGGTCGTTCCGAAAACACGACGCCTCCGTGGATCTTCTCCAGGATCATCCCGTGATCCATATAAAATTTTAAATTTCTGGCATGAACGACGTATCCTTTTATATCCCGTAAATTCGGAGCCAATTTTGGAATACCGCTTCCCGTCACGATCCTTTCGGGAGCAAGAGGATAGTCGCTGTGAAAGTCGTGGAGTTCTTCCGGATATTTTAAATCTACTTTTAAAAGACAACCTTTTCCCTCTGGAAGTCGGTCCCACTTTTCCGGATCCGACATCCATTCGAAATCTCCATAAGGTAACGGTTGACTCATCGCATACGCGTACAAACTATTCGCATCCAAATACGGTATGAACGTAGATGATACGTCAGTCTCTGGATTCCGAAGACTCGTCACCCATCGTGCTAAATTCTTAGCGACGTACGTCATAATTTTTTCGTCCTCTTCCTGACTATAATTCCATAAAAATTTACAAAGTTCATTCTCAAACTCTAACACTTTTCCACAGATATCTGTAGGATCGTTCCGAATTCGTACGTCTAATTCTTTCATTAATTCTATAACCCCTTCCGGAATATCCGAAATTCCAACGTACTTGTTATCAGCCGTACCGTACCGCATCACAGCCGTACTCACACCGCCACGAATTCCCTCCTCGATAAATTCATACATTTCGGGGCCGGTGATAAGTTGTAGAGTAATCCCAGTCATCTTTAAACATGCATTCCACGATAATCCCGGAGCCGTGTAATACCACGGAGGATCCAGTCCGTACGTCTTCCAACTCTGTTTCCTAAAATTCTCGATCACGTCCGACAGTATCAACGTGTCCGTCACCAGATACAAATTATGATAATCCAGCATACTTTTCAGTCCAAAAACCTTCCATACTTCTTTCGCACGTTCGTAGTCCTCGACGCTAATATCTTCTCCCGTTAATCCACTGTAAAATTTCTCTTCCGGAGGAAGACATCTTTCGTCAAACTTATCGTGTCCATCCATGTACTCGTACTGTAATAAACAGTGTTACGCCATTAACGTTGAACTTACAATGAATATATTTATCGAATATAAAACGTGATGACATGTTATGTCTAGACAATTGGGGGGGTGTCCAACTTGTCAATGTCAATGTCAATGTATTACATCCCCCTTCTTAAACTAACAAAATATTAATATAACTTTAATATGAACTGTTCGAATAATCGTGTCCGTGTTTATCTATAGGTAATAATAGTCCAGTTACTATTGGCAGGATAAGTTGAAAGTAACTCAGAGAGTTTGATTAAATCTATTTCATTTCATGACATAGTCTCTGTATTTTATTGGTAGCGCTGTGGTTCTCATTGGTCGTCCCTGATTAGGTGGGTTCTGGAGGTCTAAATCTGGTGGTTGTGGAATAATGGTCGGTTGTTCTTCACCAACATCCTCAGTTTGCTCTATTATGGTTGAAGGCGGAATGTTGGTCTTTAAAAGGTCACGACGGTTCCGTCTGTATTGTTGTCCATCTGATGTTGTGACGATATACGATCTTGGGGCAGGGGCCAGTCCAGATACGGTGGCTGGTGCCCAGATACTGTCCTGGCGTAGGTGGATGTTTTCTCCAATTTCAAGTGGTGGTAATGGTTTGGTTGATTTGTCGTAGTTCTGCTTCTGCTGGTTCTGTCGTTGTTCAAGCTGCTGCTGTGCATTGATTGGCACTGCTGGTAGTAGTAACTCTTTGGATATCGGAATCTTCGTTCTTGTGGTGCGACTCATCAGCAGTTGTGATGGGGAGTATGTCATTCCAGTAACAGGCGTGTTACGGTACTCCATCAGACCAACGTATGGATCGTCAGCCTTCTTCAGGATCCGTTTTACGGTTTGTACAGCTTTTTCACTCATGCCATTTGATTGAGCATAGGTTGGGCTTGATGTTGTTTGTTTGAATCTCCATTCTTTGGCGAATTCGTCAAACTCTTTGTTATTGAAGGGCATGTTGTCGGATACCAACTCTTCTGGGATTCCGTGTCTTGCAAAAATTGATTTCAAATGTCTAATTACTGTTCCTGCTGTCTTGTTTGGAAGAAGGGCTGTTTCGATGAACTTCGAATAGTAATCTACTACAACGAGGTAATTCTTGCCCTTACATTCACACAGATCAGTTCCTAGCTTTTGCCATGGTCGTTCAGGTATTGGATGTGCTATCATCGGTTCCTTCTGGTTTCTTCTTCTATATGTGGCGCAAGTAGCACATTTTGATACTTTCTCGTAGATATCCTTTGACATTCCAGGCCAAAAAAGGATTGCTCTTGCGCGTGCTTTGCATTTCTCTATCCCGAGATGACTTTCATGTATCAGGTTGAGCATATTGCTCCTCATTGCTGTAGGTATGACTAACTGGTGGTCTTTGAAGATCAGACCTTCTGCTTCACTCAGCTCGTGGCGAATGTTCCAGTAGGTAGCTAAGTTTTGCGGGATTTCATGCTTACGATCAGGCCAACCTTGAACCATCTGCTGTTTAAGTTGTTGTAGCGTTTCATCATTCGCTGTTTCTTCCTTAAGCTCTGCCATTTTCTCAGGAGATGCTGGTATTGCTGTAACCATGCTGTGCACCATTACTTCAATGTCCTCATTAAGTTCCTGTTGTTCTCCTTCTTCTGGTAAGTACGCTCTTGACAAAGTGTCGGCGATAAACAGGAATTTCCCGGGAACATATTTCACTGTTGGGTGATACTTCTGTAGTCGGATGAGAAGACGCTGAATTCGCGGTGGTGCTTGTGATAATGGTTTAGCTATGATGGCTTCCAACGGTTTGTGGTCGCTGTGTACTGTGACTTGTGTCCCATAAATGAATTGGTTGAAACGTTCACATGCGAAAACGATTGCGAGCAGCTCTTTCTCTATCTGAGCATAGTGCTGCTCAGCATTGGTGAGTGATCGGGATGCATAAATTACTGGGTGTCCTTCCTGAATTAAACATGCACCCAGTCCACCT